ATGGCGATGTGGGTGTTTGGTCACGATCACATTTATGGCGACATGATGGAAGTTTTGTGGGAGAAATATTATTGGCAATTTCCCTCCATTAAATCTCTCACTAACCCATTTTTTTGTGAATAAATCTCATTTATACTTGAAAACTCTCATTTATAGAGTTAGGGTTTATGATCTTCAACCCCCCCTCTTGTGCTAAAATTCCCTTCATTACTCCTTATAAACCCCCTTTATTAATGGCAGAGAAATCTCTCATATGCATGGTGTTCTTCAGTTGAGAAAGCGGTGTTCTCAATGGTAACGTCTTCAACATCCTTTTTTGAATTGAAATGTAGTGTGGCGGAGAGGGTCAAAGCTCCATATGATGCATTATCAATGATATATAAATCTAAAATGAACCCTGATCTCAGTTTTACGATTAAGAATAAAGATGATTTGAAGTGTATGGTGGAGCATAACCGTAATATTGGGTGTGGGGAGATCTATATGCAAGCCATTGTAGATATAGATGTTGCCAAATATCAAAACACCCTAAAGGAACCTCCTGAAATGTAACTTTTGAGAAAGTTGTGATTTATGTGATTAAAGTGTGGAGAAATGATTAGTATAGAGTAATGTTTCAGGTTAAATGCAATATATGATATATTTATGCTAACTATATGTCATGGTTGTTAAACTTACAAGATAGGTGTTAGTTTTAATAATCAGACATTAATTGTTAACCTTCTTTGTTATTTTAACATAAATCATTATATTTGTACAGCATTATCATCACTACATTGAAGTCACATTTTAATGATAGCACTCCTGCCACAAGTCATAATTCAGAGAGGATTCACACTGATAATCCGTGTGGTGACAATATAATGCGATCCGATGACATTATTAACAATACATTAATGATTCCTGCTTTTTGGTGCACTGCATTAGCTAAAGAGGGTCAACAATTTGAAATTGCCAATGAATTAAGATTTGCTTTGTCAAACTATTCCATGGCCAAAAAATTTAATTTTGAATTTGCAAAGAACAAACCAAAACATATCAGAGTTTTTGCCGACATAAAGAAACTTATAAGTGGCCTTGGATATTGTTTGTTTCTCCTACTAAAAATAAAGTGAGACTTTTGATCAAGAAGTTTGTGAACAAATACACTTGTGGATAGCATGGCCAAAATGTAGGTCATTTAAGGGCATCCCGCAAATTCATTGCAACACAATTGCAATGACTAATAAAGGTGGGCTAAAAATCCATCATGTTGCTGTGCAAAAGGAGTTTCGCATAAAGTATGGTCATAGGATTGATTACAGTAAGACATGGTGTGGTAAAGAGAGAACATAAGAGGAGCTATATGGGGACACGTATGAGTCCTACGATCAAATATAATGGTAAAATTTTGAGCTTTAGTCTTACCGTTTTTTTATTATCTTCTAAATATAGGGGTTACGTGTTATACCTAACCATTAACAAGTGAATTTTACCAAATGCTTACTAAGTTACATTGATAACATGTTAATTTTACCAAATGCTTGTTAAGTTACACTTATAACTGTTAACTTTCGTAGATGACTGTTAATGTAATTATTGGGTACTAACACTAACAGATAACATGTGGATTTTACCAAATGTTTGTTAAGTTATACTAATAATGTGTTAATTTTACCAAGTAGTTATTAAGTTAATTTTACCAAATATTTGTTACGTTATACTGATAATCTGTTAATTTTACCAAGTAGTTATTAAGTTACACTAATAACTTTCATAGATGACTATTACGTATAATTGATGGGTGATAACATTAACAAGTAGTTATTACCATTTAAAAGTAGTTGTTAACTTTTACATTTTATTTTATAAATTTACTAAAGTGTGATCATTATATTTTTTTAATTATTATTCTAGGCATGAGCGCATGGTAAAGGAGACAAATTCAGGTAGCTATATTTCTATTGAACAACATGAGGGAAGGTTTTCAAGACTCTTTATTTTTATGCTACTTTCGTAAATGGTTTATTGAGTGGATGTAGGCCTCTTTTATTTTTGGATGGTACCTGTGTGAAAGATCGATATAAATGTATACTCCTTTGCACCATAGCATATGACAAGGACTAATGGATAATTCATTTAGCTTATTGCATATGCGATCAGGAGAATTTGATCAAATGGAAGTGGTTCCTCTAAGGTTTGTAGTCCATACTTTATGAAAAGCCTGACACATATAATTCTCCCCACTAATTGGCTATAATTCCAGATGTAGACAAATTAGAGAATCAGTGAAAGAATATTTGTCAGAAGTTCTACGCTCTAGATGTGTGATTATCATATTTTATTACACTTTTATATCATCATTATCTATTTTATTGAATAAATAGATAACTAATAATATGTTTTTCTCTTAAACTATAAGGAAAAGAAGAATTATTGAATAAGAGCTCAAATAAAGATTATTTCGAGCCCAAATGATCTTTAATAAAGCCCAAAATGCCTAAATCCAAAGCCCACTACTAAATTTAAAAGCAAAATATCAGTACTCATCCATTAGTAATTATTAATAACATGGTCTGCAATTAAGTATCAAATCAAATATGAAAAGAAATAAAGTCAAATTCATGCTCAGGATGATCAACTTTAAATAAAATGTGATATCTCCTAATCTAGAAAGTAGAATTCAACATATTATATAAATGAGGAGGGAGCCATCCAGATTAATAGATTCTAGAAATTTTATTAGCAACAATAGATTATGATAGAAATCTGAATTTAATTGATATATTCAATTATTTGAAGGCCAAACTGAAGAAGCACAAGAGCATTTAAGAGAAGTCTAAGAATCTTAAATGAATTAAATACAAAGAGATGAAGCTCATAAAGCTCATCTCTCAAATATTAAATTAATGGTATAGATTAATTTGAGAGATTTTATGGTTATGAGGGTTACTTTGGGCCTAAACATAATTATATGGTTGTGAGAGCTACTTGGGGGGCCAAGACAAATTTAAGAGTTGTGAGAGATTCTTATTATTTATAAATAAAGGGGTAGAGTGATGATTTGAGAGTGTAAAAAGTTTTGTAATAATATCCATTTAGAGTGGAGGGTTGTCCTTCATTAAGAAGACCTTCCAAAATCGTAAACTTTATTTACAACTAATAAAAATGTTTTTTCGATCTTTTAAATTTGTTTCTTCTTTGTTAATGGAGATGAAGATGAGGATTTACTTTCAAGGGGTCACCCCCTTGCAATGTAATTTTTTTATTTTATTTTTAGAAATTCATGTTTTAGGATTTTATTTTGTTACATTAGATTAGATTTTCTTTTATGCTCTCTTATTTTTATGTTGTATTTTTCTTGCACTTCTATAGCATAGATTTACTTTTATGCTCTTTTATTTTTCTTGTATTTTTTAATTGTATAGATTTACTTTTATGTTTTTCTATTTGTGTTAATTAGTTAGATTTTCTGTATACTCATAATTTAGATATTTATTTCTTTATTTTTGTTCTTCTCTTTATAGTTACTCTTTCTTCTATGTTTTCTAGCATAGATTCTATTTTCTTATTTTTATTTTTAAAATGTGCAACTAAATATTGTAGGAATTTTAGAGTTGTATGAGGATTTGTTGACTGCTCTCTTATGCTCAAAATAATCATGTTTAGGATAATCAACTAGAGAACTAATTGGTAGAAAAAGAATTTGATAATCAATGCTTATCTAAAGTAAGTTGATAGGTTATGCTTATGAATTCTAGAACTACTATTTAATTATTATCCTTTTCATAAATCATAATTTTACTTGGATGATAATTTGATAGGTTATGATTTCCTTGAGTGTTTTGATAGTCTATGCTTAATATATCCAAAGTAAAATATGATAAAAAAAGTGATTAGTTCATAAATTCTAAATTAAATCAATTAGTGGATTCAATTCTAAATTCCTATCTTATCTACTTGATTTCCTCCATATTTACATGTTTTGATTTTTCTCTTTTTGATTGAACTTTCTAGTCTTGATTTTTGCTCTTTTCTGTTTTCTTATTTCTCCTCCATGTTTATTTTTTGATTTTTTATTTGTAAATAATCACACATTCTCCATATCTTTACACTTTCACTCTTCTTTGCCCACACACACCTCTAGAACCATTTTAGAATCTTTTCCACACACCTTCCTCTTGGGATTGACATTAAACTATACTATAACTTGATTGTGTACTTATAATATCGACACTATCTTCACAACACATCAACGTGTTCAAGATCTCGTTGAAAACTTTAAGTTAAAGCTAAAGGACTTGGGAATGAAATCGAAGGACACTCATATTCTAGGGAACTTGTTCTAATCAGCTTGTTATAAATACACCAAAGAAGAATGAAATGATTAAATGAAAAAATATATATATGATATAGATCCAAGGGGATATAACATTGTTGTTAACTACTCTCCTGAGCA